AGCTGCCAAAGTTAATGCTCATTCTAAAAACAGTCTTTACTAATTTAAAATCATAATTAAATTTAAAGTTATATCGTTAATCGACATTTGAATAAATTTTTTATCAATTATTTCGACAAACAACCAAATGTATTTTTCGAAGAACAAAACAAAATTTTCAGAAAGGGTTGAATATAAAAGCATTTTCGTTTGAAAAAAGAAAAGACTACGCAGACCGTAGTATATAAAATTGCTTAGACTTCCAAACACGTTCACAAAATCAGTTATAGTATTTTTGAGAACCCATTAAATATAATGTGGAGTCGCGAAAATGTTTACAGACATTTATTTCTATAAATACATTCGTTTGAAGTTTTTCCTTTGAAGAAAAGTGGATATTTGTTTTAGAAAGGAGAAATTGAAAAAAAAATTGAAATTGAATATTTCGCAAATATATAATAATATTGATTTTGCATAGGAAAAAATGCAGTTGCAATTATGTCAGGAAAATTTCGTTGCATCCAATGGGTGAAACGTTCAATACCTTTTTTTACATGAGTTTCTGTCATGGTTTCAAATATATAAGACAAATTCGAAATAAAAATTTCATTGCTAAATACGTTTTGTTCAGCTAAAACGTTTTATCGTTTTATTCTGAATTATATACGTAAAAAATATTTTGTTGGAACTAAAACGTCAACCAAAGTTGAGAATCGAACCTGGGTTATCTCATTGGAAGGTGAATACTCTATCCAAGCCATCTTCACCGAACCACCGTCTGAACACGAATATTAGGAAATACCGAAGAAAATTTTTAAATATGGTCAGTATTTACGTAACAATAACCTAAAACTTGCAAATATCAGGCATAGTTTTTCAGCTTTATAAAAAAAAACCAAAAATTTTTAATTAAAGGCTATTTAAAAATTTGTAAATTCGAGATCTTTTTATGTGCCTCTTAGTGAAAAGAATAGAAATTAAATGTATATTCCTAAGAAACTAGAGAAGAAAGATTTGGTAAAAATGAAAAAAATTATTAAGGTGGAAAAAACCGCTATGTCTAGAGCACTCGAAAATAGGCCCTAATTCTCAAGACTCGCCTGGTATTTTCTGTTTAAGATCTATTTTGCTTTTCTTATCCACGTCAGGCGAGTTATGAACTCTTAAAACATTTTCCAATTTCGTAATTTCTTAAGCAAATGAATTTTCTACATTATCAAGATTCCTAGAGTGTTGAGAAATTCTGTATACTTTTAAAACGGAACATTAACACACATAATTCAACTGAATACAAGATTTTTTTTAGCATAGTAATCTTTTAACAACCAATCAATGTATACTATGCAAAGGTCCATGCCTTACTGTCAAGTTATTTGAATGGTTTTTCCAACTATTCTTAGTAATATTATGAGATTATTAGCAAAAACAACAACGTCTATTAGTAAGTATGACTACTACACATTAATTCTCTTGCCCGGTATTCCCTACACTTATATTGTTTTAGAAATATTTCATTTTCTTCGCGAGAAAGCTTGGAATTAAGGGGATCACCAATCAATCTGGTCATATTATGTTCATTTCATAAGTTACTTAATTGTCCATTTTTATTGCAATTATTTCATTAACGTCACCACCATGAAAAACCAAATTCAACTAATTTTAACTTATTTGCCTAAGCCATGTTTTCCAATATGATGATTAATTGGAGATTGGTTTGTTTCTTAAGTTCTTTAAACTTTAAAATTTTCCCAAGTATAGTTTCAAACATAATTGAAAATTACCTACATAAAGAATCAATGATTTAATGAAATACAGTAAAGCGCCATCTTTATTATAACTGGAATTTCATTCTATTAAAATGATTATTGACAAAGATGCATTTCAACCTTATTTAACTCTTTTTTACTATTTATCTGACTTCCTAAGAAAAGTTAGAAAAACCCAAAAAAAGCAGATTGCTTTGCATTGAAAAATTTATACAATTTATTTAAAACAGAGAGCCCTTTTCATCTTTTTTTTTTTTTAGTAGACCATTTTTCTAGAAACGTGATAGGATTTCTTCGAGATTCTTTCAACAATGCGACGCATGAAATATAAAGCTTTGTTATATTTTGAAGAGCATGTTACTCCACGTGATGAAAATGACCTTTGCAAATAGTGAAAAGAATGAAGGAAAGATATAACATGAAATAAATAGTTTGCAGTAAAGTGATTGAAACAAAATTATAAATTATTTAATACTTGAGTAGTAGATAGTTTATCAATGGATGATGTAGAAATGCTTTTTTATATGAAAAAAACGAGACAGAATTAGAGTTATGAAAAATACAGAAATTTTTAAATATTTGTCGCCTTATATGATATAATTTGTGCTCATTTCAGTTTTTTAATATATTAACATAATTGAGAGTATATAAGTTAGCCTTACCCATTATATAATAAATATAACATTCTTATAATAAATACCTTCCAAAGTTTCATATACATAAGCAATACTCTGTTAGAAGACTTGGAATTGAACCATAATATTGTTCAAATTTGCTCCAGCATTAATATGGTTTTAAGCTGAACCCTATTATCATACTTCTTAAACTTGATTACACGATACTATTCATTAATAATAACGATAGGATCATTTTCCGCTCTTTGCAATAGATGACTGTAAAGTCATCTATTGCAAAAACGAAAGTCTCAATGATAAGTTAGTAACTTTTTTATAATGACCGAAAAATAGTTCTGAGGTTATGCTACCACGAGTTAACTATCCTATTATTATTATTTCATAATAATAATGGGATCATTTACCACTCTTTCAGAGTCATCTATTGCAAACTAAAAGAAAATGTGCATCAATGATAAGTTAGAATTTTTTTTATAATGACCAAGAAATTGTTTGCCGGTTAAGTTAGCACGAGTTATCTATCCTATCATAATTGTTTCATAATGATGCTACGATTATTTTCCGCTTTTTCAGAGCCATATATTGTAAATTAAAAGAAAATGTGCATCAATGATAAGTTAGGAACTTTCACACAATTTTTCGAAAATAGTTCAATGGTTAAGCTACCACGAGTTATCTATCCTATCATTATAATCTCGTACAGTTTAAAATGTTTCGATATAATCTTCGATTTTCGGTTATTACGGTGGAAAAACATGTTTATAAATAAAGATGAAACAATTCAGTGGTTTGATTCTGAAGTAACTTTCCTGAATCCAAATGAAAAGAGACAAGACCAAATTAAGTCGAAACACGTTTGACTTAACACAAAGAAACAGGAAAGAAACAAGCTAAATATATCCTTACCACGTCTTTCATGAAAGAAGAATTTCACCCATCGCAAAAATAGAGCTCAAATCTGTTTTCTTTATTTGTTTTTTATCAACATACGTACCAGACCAAGATTTACCACCAATACCACTACCCCGGTAAAGAGGGCAATTTAGTCTCGAAACCAAATATCTCTTTTCAGAATTACACCCACGCTTGGCACTCTTTTGAGAATAAAGCAAAGCTAAGTTAATGTGAGTCCCATTAATTCTAATTTCACTACATTATCTTATCTCAACGTGAAATCTTAAATTCACTTCTTTTGCTCGTAAATAGGATAACTATAGCATGAAGTTTAATTTTTCAAATTTTAGTACTTCTATAATCGAACTATTTTGCGAATTACATGTTAGTTAAAAGTAACTTGTGTTACTAATTGTAGCAATTTAATACACCGCAGTTCTCATTCGACAAAAGCTTTTCTCTTCTTTTCTTTCTGGGAATAAAAGATGATAATATATTCGATAATTTTTTACCTCCAGAAAAGAGAAGTAGAGAGGTCATTGAGCTGGTTGAAATTGTACATTAAAAATTATTTAATAAAATTTACAGAGACTTGAAAATTAAATATAAATATCCTTTCTACACAAATAAAAACATACATTTTAAATAACAAATTTTAGTTTCTGCAGATAAAAAGCGACATTGAAAACAGTAATATTCGCAAACTTGTTATCGATTATAAACATTTACAGACGAAATAAAAATACGCCAACATTGGAGTTTCCGTAAGCGAAAGTAATTAACGTATGGTGTAAAGGCGAGTGATTTTGGTGTAAACATTTTGCATTTTCGGTGTTGAGAACTCTTTAAATTGTATATGCTCCATTTGGTGTTCACTTGAAAAACAATCATCCTTCAAACAAAATCATCTAATCATTAAGTATCAAATTCAGAGAGATATTCACAGTTTTCATACCGTAGGTAATTTATTTGAAGAATTTGATTTCCCCTCGAGTTTATAAGTTAGAGAGAAAAAGATACTGATGATAATACTTACTGGGGAGAGGATTTGATGAAATGATATTTTAATTTCTAAATTATGTAAAATTTGTTATACCTACTTTGTCATGACAAATGCGTGCAGTTTTGGTTGCAATTTTTTTTTAATATTTAAACTAAAATAACTATCTGTATTCAAATATTTAAGTTTGTATTAAAACGTACTAAATATATATACCATTTGGAAAACAAGCAGAAAATAGACTAATTGAATGATTTATGGCAGGTTTCTTTTTCATATAAGGTTTGCAAATTTATTAAATAATCTGAATAAATATAATTATTTGAACCTCCATCGACCTAATTAATATGTTTTTCAACAAAAAATTTATTAATTAAAATCTTAAATTTAGTTTCAAAAAGTTTAGGAACAGGAATTCTTCAGTTAAATTCTTTGAAATTTTAACTATAACTTAAATTAATACACAATAAAGAAAATTAAAATTTATTTTACTGTTGTTCACAAAGTATATCTTTGACGCAATTCATGCTATAGAATCATATTAATATCATTACTTCCTTCAAACGCGAATTTTTTTTAATATTTTAACTCATACTTAATAATAGTTTTTATTGTAATTTTGGTACGAATTCACAATAATGTTATATTTTAACTCATACTTAATAATAGTTTTTATTGTAATTTTGGTATGAATTCCCAATAATGTATATTCATTTAAAATTTCAGATGGTGTGTTCCATTCAGTAGAAATTTTAGACACTGCGGGATCTCTCAATTTTCCTGCTATGCGAGAGCTTTGTATTAAATCTGGTAGAGGATTCATCTTGGTGTTTTCAGTGGATGATGTTCAGTCATTTCATGAAGCCATGGAAATATGGGAAATCATTGTGAAACTTAGAGGTAATTAATAAGATTTAATAGTGCCTGAATATTTTATTCAAGTTCATCAAGGTGTTACTAATTTAATATTAAAGTTATTATTTATTGACTGGACAAGTTACTGGTTATAGAAGCAGCTGTGTTAGAGGCAGCTGAAATGGTGAAAATATGATGATCTTAAGAGTTTGTCAAGCGAGTTGCTCCATAAAAGCAATTTCACTTTTTGAGTATTTCTCCATATTTTGGGAAACATATAAGATAACAGAAAATTGCTTTGCAAACAATTATGAAACATATTTTCCCAAAGATAATTCAGTGCAAAAATTATATTTAGTGATTATTTATTATTTCCATTATTTTACTTAAAATAGATGAGAATAGATTAGAGTTATTTAATTTTAAGTATAAGTATTTTTAATATTAATTTTAAATGATGAAATTAAAAATTTGAACAGAATTTGTAGATTTGGATTTTAGGAATGGAAAATTTGAAAACACGACCTTTTTGGTAGGTATACATGAGGTTGGGCTAAATTAATTAAACTTTCAAATACGCAGTCTATTAAACAATCTTACAAGTTTTGGTTGTTGCGTCGAACTGTAATATCGTTCAATTTTGCTGCAATCTTCATATGACGCTAAAAAGAACTATATTATTGTACTTTTGAAACTCAATTGCATGACACTATGCTATACTAAAATTTCACAAAAATGTGATTCAGTTCATCCCCTAATTGTGGTCATAACAAATTCGCACTCATATTACAAAAGCTTAGAGGTAATTAATAAGATTTAATAGTGCCTGAATATTTAATTAAGGTGTCACTAATTTAAGATCAAAAGTTATTATTTATTGACTGAATAAGTTACAGTTTATAGATTAATGTGTTAAGGTGTTCGAAGATTACGAGTTCAATAATGGGGACAAAACTAAACAACTGACGTTTAATACACAGCAACAAGTTCGTAATGTCTGATGGAGTTGAAAATATTATATTTGGTGTATTTTGAAGCGAAAGGTACCTGCTCTGCCACTGCCCACGTCATCTGACCAGGACAGGAACTCCGTGGTGTTCCTGCCATGGTAATTGAAAAACAGGTCACAGAAGAACTGGTTTAGTTGCTCGACCCTGAAAGAGTAAAGTGTAGAGTGTTATGTAAGAGCAATAGATATTAAGTATATATATATGTACAAATAGATATGTACTAATTAATTATTGAGTATTAATTTCTATTATAAAAGTGTATAATAGAGTATTAAAAGAACAAATTTATGAATGCAACATATGTATGTTGATCCCATATAATAAAGTAATAATGATCGATATATAATAAGGTAGTTTAAAAAAAAGTAAAAGAAATAACTGTACACAATCTTAAATATAGCAATATTGGAATCACTTTTTATAAATTGTTTGTGTGTTTTTAGACTCTTTGTAAAGTTTGAAGTCAAAGGAAACTTAAAATGAAAAAGAAAATTCAACAAAATATGATGATTAATGATTGAGGCCATTCTTAAAAATGTTGAGTAAAAATCAATAAAATCAGTTTACTATCAATGAAAATGAAAGGATTCATTAAAACTGATCCTTTTTAATTTATTTAAAGTATGAGTTATTTAACAAATTTATTTATTTAATTAATAAATTTATTTAAAATATGTGTTTCTGTTTGGAAAAGTTAACAGCCTCAATTTCTCATATTTGTTATAAGAAATTAATTTAAATATTCACGAAACGATAGTTTTAAAACGAATGTCTTTGTGATACTTATATTTTATGATACTTATATTTTATGATACTTATATTTTATGATACTTATATTTCATGATAACTCATAATTTATTAAACTTATATTTTATGATGCTATTGTTTTATCAAAAAATTATTTTTAAATACATAAGTTGACTTCATTTGATTCAGGTTATCACTTGAATGAGTAGTAAAATGCATAGTTTATTAATTAGACTTTTCACTTTCACAAAATATTCCTATTGCAAATAAATATCAATAGATCAAATGTAAATGCTTATTAACCGGAATAACAAAATTATTTTTGTATGCGGTTCGGGAATTTAAAACATGTTTTAGAAATATGTCAAAACTTACCATCTCCCTTATCTCAAGATATCATTATTTCCTTGTGATAAAATTTAATTATTTAAGAAATGATACTTGATTTTATATCAATGTAACCAGTTTTCACTTGTTTGTTAAAATTCAAATGCCAAAATACTGTAGGCTTTTATACTAATCTTATCATAATTTGCAGTTAAAAAATATTGCACAGGAAATTTTTGAAAGTGTTTTTAAAAAAGATTCCACAATATGATTATAATTATATAATGACACATAATATTTAGTTTTGTTCAGTTCCTACCTCGCTTTAAATTATTATTTTCTTCATTAAACAAAGAACTGTTTTCGTGAAAAAAGCAAATGTTTCAAAACTTCAATTTCAGAAGAACCCGAAAATATATGCTGCTTCTCAAAACTTTTCCGGAAGAATTTACATTTTTTAGCTTTCTTTCCTCTGAAGTGTTTTTAATTTTGTTTTTTTGAATATTGATTTTCTAAACTAATCGATTGATAAAACAGTCTGGTATGCGTTGTTGGCACGATACTTTATTTTTTGACTGGAAAATATTACCATTAAGAGTATTAAACAAAATTAAAAAAATCTGTGTCGCATAAATTGAAAAAAATAATTTCCTCATAAGCTAATTTAAGTTAACTAAGATGTCATTTTCTTTTCCTAATTTTTTAATTAGGGTTATTTTTTATACTAACTATTAATTAGTAAACATTAAAACTCTCTTATTGGAATTTCTCTTCTTTTTTTGTGTCAAGGAGCTGAAAATCTTAAAGCATTTGTATATTTATAACGGCAGTGCACAATTTTAATATTAAGGTTAAAATATTGAAAGATATTTTTAAAAAAATAATGACTAAAACTTCACTCATATTTCTTATTTTTCAGACCTGATAAAATATTGTTGATTGTCTTGAATGTTGGCAGGTATTAAATGGGTATTGAATGACGACTAATACAGTTGAAAACTCCGCCATTTTGTTTGAAAGTTTACATAATTTTAAAGGATATTTTAGACGATTTTTTTTTTATTTTTAAGTTTTATTGAAACAAAACTAACAAAAGGAGGAACTACATCGTATACTTAACAAAATACAGGGATTGGAAAAAATAATGGAAACACTTTAATACTAACACTTTTTTTTTTCAATTTTAAAAAAATACTTAGATAATCTTTTTACAAATTTAGAAATGTTTAGGTTATGCAATATCTCGTACTAATCAAAGAAGTTTAAAGCTTTCAGAGGTTTGAGGGACAGACAATAAATTACAAACGGAAAATAATGTTTTTGAACACTCTATGTAAAAAAATGTAATAATAAATTTGTAACTTGGAACAATTATTTTGGCTATTAGGTGTAATAATAGCACGAAATTTCGTAAGCAAAGTTTAAATATTTATGGAGATATGGATATTTTTATAAAAAACTACTTTATATAAAACTAATTAACTAGGATAAAATTCTGGTTGTCTAACCGTATTTGGTCAAAACAGTTAATAAACTGCCTTTCTCTCAGTTAACCGTTTGATTACCATCTTATTTATGGTAATTTGATGTTTTTTCTGAATATGGTAAAATAATAATTAAATAAATTGTTATTTAACCATTTTTTTGAGAAATTTCTAAAAGTATACTAAAAATCAATCAATTTTAATTGTTTGAGAGCTTACCTTAAATATACTTAGTAATTAGTGAGCTGGTATTTTAAGTTATGTAATCAGACATGAAAACATACCTTCCCCGAATAAACTTACATTTTTTGGGTGGATTTGAAATGCGAGGGTATCTCCAAAATATGGCCCCAGTAGTTAGGGCAAGAGAGTGCTTTAAATTTGGGTCCCTTCATGTTAATCTAATAACTTTTTGTGTAACTCGCTATATTTCCGAATAAAAAAAATTGTCCACAGTTATATATAATATCACGACTACGATAATATCACTACAAAATATTTTAAAATGATTTACTATTTTGATTTGCGTGATGTTTTTAATATCCCATTGGTTTGGGACATACTTTCGATATGATTTTTACATGAACGTATATGAAAGTTACACATTTTGCTAGAAAGTTTCTATATGATTATTATATTATTTTTGTCCACGGAAGATCCCTTTTTATAAACTTCTCAACTCCCATCGACAACAGCTCTTGAGTTCGATAGCTATTAGGACAACTCTGATTTTGGAATCAGGATCGTACTTACGATTTTCTACTCGGTATAGGGCAGCTGCAAATCAGTTTTACTCACTAAGGTCTCTATGAAAAAAAGCCCCTGACTTCTGAGTTTAATTTTGAAATGCAAAAATTTCTCGGCGAATACTGTTTTTCCTAGCCTGCGATGTGATTAAACTGTTTTATCGTCTAATCACTTCGTTTAACCAGTAAACTATTTGAGATAAAGGATTAAAACTATGTGACAGCATTACCAGATTTAAATCTTTATGTTCTTCATAAATATGCAAAAATGAAATGACACTCGACATGTTTCAAGCGCATCAAAAATAGGCTCCCATTTCAAGACTTCACAGAATTGAATGTGATAAGGAAAAAATTATTTTAAAAAAATGTTAAGTTGCTAATGAAAAATGGAAAATAATGGTAAGAAACAAAAACTAGAAAAACCACCGAAATTGAGAAAGAAATAAGATGAAAAAGAGAACAAGAAAAAACGCAGTGGCTGAGAGGCAAATCAGGTTAAAATGAATTTCCAGGCGCAATGAATGGTTGGGGAAAAACTAATGTCTATAACAAAGGAGTCAGCATTCAAATGAATAAAATAAGATTCCAGGGTATCTAGATGAACCGACCTGACTGTAGTGAATAATTCTAGCATCTGACAGCACTTCAAACCATTTGTCACTAAGATGACAAAAATTTACAGTAAAGCTCACTAAGATGACGACGCTAAAATTAATAGAAACGTGTAA